ACAGACCCTCTCATGTTTTGCTTTGCATCCTGAATCAAATCGGTTCCTTGAGTTAGTTTGACTTTGACTTTTCCAAGAAGCTAACTTGCCTTTTTGCTCCAGAGACTCTTGGTTAGATTTTGCTCTGTTTGTCTCTCTGAACTGGACTTTCTTAGATGTTTTCTAAAGAAGTAACATGAGACTTTTTCTCGCCAACTGCCTTCCAGTCTTCTATTTTAACACTTCCTCTCATCCCAAAGCTCACTAAACATACTGTTTCCAAACTGTTCTCCATCAGTTCTTCTCTAGATGTTTTTTAATCTGCCATCTGGACTTTGAACTTCTTAGAAACCATTCTTTCATGACCTTTGACTGTGTCTTTCAAGAGGGTCCTCCTCACCTTCCTGTTGGTGTCTTCACCTTCTGGAAGTCTTCAGTGAACTCTGGTTTTCGCTCCCTTCTCTTGATCTATGCTTGTTTTGGGCTACTAGAAATTAAGTGACCATTCCTATGCTAATGACTTAGATCTATTGCTCTCTCCCAAATTATTTTCGTAAGTAAATTTGAATTTCAGTCAGCCTTCTGAAGGTTTAGGGATGGTTTATCGTTTTAGACCAGTAGTTATACCAACCAACAGCAATTACATTCATTGAAGCGTGAGAGATAATTACTGACTTGGAGAGGGTGAACTGGTCTATGATGCTTCTATAGGCAGTATCTCAGCTGCTGTGGAGCTCCTAGATGGAGACAAGTTGCAGCCAGCCAACAGCAGAGGTAGAATATCTCAGGTCTGTTTGCACCGCTTCCTCTAACCATACTGTCTGTCTCAGTCTTTCCACCATAATCACAGTGAGTTCCTCTCAAATTCAGAGTTCTTGCTTGTCTGGAATGAATTTTCTGAGAACTTAGAAGTAAATCTTTGTAACTACAAAACACGAGCAGTTGAAGAACTCCTGTCCTATAAAAAACAGCTTTCCGCAGTGGAAAGCGTTGCCTCAAAAACCCTAGAAATGTAATAAAGCAGATGCTTTAAACTTCATGTGTAGCTGCATGTGAACTGTATTTGCATAAACATAGTCAAAAGGCAAGGGAATTGTGTATATTTGATGCTATAAATACTTTCTGCAGTTATATAAGCTGAGGCCAGCTCATATATCTGGCTGAGGTCAGTGGATCCTGAAGAAAGGCCAGCCGTTCCATCAAAGGTACCTTAAGCAATGGCCATCTTCCTGTCTGACTAACCATCATGCATTTGTTCCATTAATTGCTGTGACTCAGTGTTTGGGGAAGACTGGCCCTATGAAACAGGTTCAGCTTTGTGGTTTGCTGTTTAAAGGTCCTGTGCTTGCTTGAGCATGTCTTCTCTGCAACAGCCCTGACCCATAAACAGGTTGGCCTCTTGGGGGCTGGCTTGAACCAGAGTCCTTCAGCATTGCTGTTGATCACGGCTAGAAACAGGGCAATGTCCTAGGACTGGGAGCTTCCAAAGCATGTGTGAGTGAAGATGAAGTGTGTTCCACACCAGTGCTGATCATTCACTATACTGACGGACTGGGCACATCTTGTTGCTTGAGCAGAGTTGAGGCTTGACCTTAGAGACATTACCAGCTCTGCAGCTGTAGCTGGTAGGTCTGATCTGGAGGGAGAGGATGTTGTGAGGCCAGACCTGAAGCTTTCCAGCTGCCTGATCTTGGTTGAGTAAGCAAGTTCAAAGAAGACTCTGGTTGGCCTGCCTTGGAGTGCTGGACCCTCTTGATGACACAGGAACATGACATTGAATTTTTAACTTTGTTGTATAAATGCTGACCTTGGGGCCCTCCTTGGGGCTGCTGGTTCTTGGGCATGAGAGGAAGAGTTCGCTTAAAGCCCAATTTAGACCATCTTGCACAGCAGGAGGAGGCAGAGGTGAGAAGGAAAGCCTGATCTGCAGAGGAGGGAGAGGAGATGCTGGTCTTTTTGGATGTTACCAGCACTTCCACATCTTGCCTTCACAGCCAGGAATCCTGCAGAGGAGAAATACAACTTCCTAGTCCAAAGCTGGGAGCTCTCCCAGCTCATCAGGGAGCTGTGGGGACAGGGAATGGAGGGACCGGGACATTCTGGAAGAAAGGCAGAGTTCTCATGCTGTTTCTAATCCTGCCATCTAATCAACTGTAAAAGAAAGTACTAAAAATATGATCATCCTTGTGGAGTGTGGGGGAGGAATGGGATAGGCAAAGCCAGCAGAGAGGAGGGGGAGGAATAGGGTATCCCAGCCTTGGCATCCCTCCCCTGTGACAGTTTTCTCTCTCCCTGTACTGGAATCCCATTTATTGCCCCACATGGAAAAAGCACTGGGTTTCTGCTGGAAGGAGGGCTGTTTGGTCGCAGGGCCTCCCATGCCCCTGGTGCTCAGCTTCATTCCTTGTGGTTAGTGCTGCAGGATGCATGCAGGGCTTTCACATCTTGTTTGTTTATGAACATTATTTTCTTTCTGCATGCACATTCCTCCTTTCAGACCTTTGGGCAGGCAGCCCCCTGCCTTATTCAGGCTGGGGTTTGGCTGCAGAGATGCTTTTTATTTCTGTTTTCTTTCATGCCCTGTTTTGATTAAAATAAAGAGTAGCTCTTTTTTCATGTGTTCACTGGGTTCTCCATCAATGGGATGCCCTTTGCTATCTATAGCATTTACCAGCTTCGTATCTAGAGGGGGATGGCTTGCAAAAACCTAGTAATTGACAAGACACAACATGAAGGTCCCAAAAGGATTTTTCAACCTCCTTACCTTCTTGTGGTCCTTCTCCAGTAAACTAAAGGGTAAAGAGCTGACTGATGGGATGCAAGGTACTTTGCTCTGGTGTTTCACAGCTGGGGAGAAAGGGAATGCAGCTGCTTTTGACCCATCCTTTGCCCTAGGCCAAATATGAGGTGGTAGCTCTGGGCAGATTCTGGGGGACTTTATATCCATGCTCCAGTATCTTTGGCAGTTGAACTTGTACTAGACTGGCTCGGAGATGAACTACCCCTTTGTGACCCCTTGAGTCAAGGAGCTCAGTGAAGAGAAGTAGGACTGTGATGGGTGGGGGGGTTCTTGCCTGGTTCCCTTGGTGGACCTTACCCACATGCAAACCTCTCTGAAGGGGAGGAAGCGTTCTTCAGAAGCTGCATTTTGGAAAATCCCACTCTAAAATACACAGTGGGTTTGGGTCAGGTTTGTGGTAGAAGCTTAGTGGATTGCAATAGCACCTCATGAGAGTTTTAGTTTACTCTTTACGGTGTGGTTTAGAGGTTGAAGCAATAGATCATTGATGTTGTCTCAATAGGGGCCAGAGACAATGCGTTTGAATCTTCGTATGGACTTGTGCTGTAGGGGGCTTCTAGTTGGCACAGCCGAGTGTGTCAGGACTTTGCTTGGCACCTTGTTGTTCTCACCTGCCATGGGAGCTGGCATGTTTTAGCCACCTGTCTAGGCTAGGGAAGGTCTTCTGTCCCCTGGTTCAAAAGTTTATCCCTGTAAAATCACAGCATGTCTTTATTTGGTGCCTTGGCTCCAAACGTCATTTGGAGTTGTAAGCGTGAACCAAAGCGAACACTGAATTATAAACATGGGAAAAGACACAGAGGGAAATTGTAGCTGAAATGATTGAAGATGTTAGGGGGGAGTGGTGTGATCAGAAGGGGAAGAAAAACCACCCACCTCATTCCACTCCAAGAGGCAAAGGAGCCATCTTCCCATCCTACAAGAGGGTGAATATGTCCATCTTCAGGTCTCCCTCTGGCAACTCATTTGTGACCTGGAAGCACAATGAGAGGAGTTTTACCTAGCACAGGTGAGTAACAGCAGTTGCGTGCTGTCTCTTTCTCTGGATGATATTCTTTGTACTTGCAATTCTAGGTGGAGTTGTCCTCAACCCTGCTTATTACGGTATGCACAGCCACACGAACACCATGATCCACGAAGTGGGACATGTCCTGGGGCTGTACCATGTCTTTAAGGGAGTGAGTGAGCGGGAATCTTGTGACGATCCCTGCAGGGAGACAACTCCATCTATGGAGACAGGAGACCTCTGTGCTGACACTGCCCCCACCCCAAAGAGTAAACTCTGTCGGGATCCAGACCCTACCAATGATACTTGCGGCCAGACGCATTTCATGGGAACACCCTTCAACAACTACATGAGTTACACAGGTAACCAGTAATTGTTAGAAATTGTAAGGGGTCACCTTCCCTAGAGACTTGGGTTTCTTTCCCTTCCACTTCCATCAATACTTGTTCCCTGATTGATGTGATCCCTCCTGGTGTGTTGGGATGTGTCAGGTTGCATCCTGTGCTTGCAGTATTTTCTTAGCCCCTTTCTTGCTTCAGGCTGTTTCCATCCCTCCCTGCCTGACAGATGCATCAAGACATGCATCAAGGCTGTTCTTGTGTGCACGGGGGTGTGCCTTTGTTCTTCACTCCTGAAGCAACTTTATTGTTACTACTATTTATTATTATTATCAATACTACTACTACTATCATAATTTTGCACCTTCGAGTTGAGCACTTTTGGCTTGGTTTCCAAAGGCATGCCGTGGAGGGCTGGTGTTCCTCCTGGTAGCCCAGGAGGACTGAAGTCTGAAAAGCAATTCTGCCACTCCCTGCTGACCCACTGCGAGTCCTACGAGGATAGTGGCACTGCCCAGTCGCTAAGAGCTGGTGTGAGCTGGTGTTCAGCAAGTGCAGGGATGTGGAGCTGCTGAGGCAGTGCCATCTTGTGGCTTTGGGGACACACGACACCAGAGAGTCCTGGCAGGAAAGCAACCACATGCTGGTGTCTCCCAGGTCTTCCCAGAAGTCCCCAAAACAGATTTTGTAGATCAGGAAGGGTGCATGCTGTCATGCCCCGCTGGCCGATCCCTGTCACCTCTCTTCCCCCAGATGATGACTGCACCAACACCTTCACACCCAACCAAGTGGCCCGGATGCATTGTTACCTAGACCTGGTATACCAGCGCTGGGGCCAGAGCAAGAAGCCTGCACCCATTCCGATCCCTCCCATGGTCACGGGACAGACACAGGACTCACTCAGCATCTACTGGCTGCCTCCCATCAGTGGTGTCATCCATGAGAGGTAAGGGATCTCCTGTTGCAATGGTCTTGGGCTTGCACAGAAACCTGCTAGAAGGGACAAGGCATCGTCTATGGTGCAGACCCCCCCATCCCCTTTCCCCCTTGGTTGTCTCAAGCAGAGCCCTTGGACACAAGAGCTGGGCTGCTGAAATGGCCCCGCTGGCACACGGGCTCTGCCGCAAGATTTCTGCTGTTGGGATGCCGGGAGGGGAAGCCAAAGAGTGTCGGGAGGCAATGCCAATTCTTAAACCCCAGAGTGCAATCACAGAATGAAAAATGAGCTTCATTTAGCACTTATTGTATGAAACAGACATTTACCAGGAGGAAATGCAGCCTTGTGGTTAAGGCAGGGAGCTCAAACCGCAAGAGCTGGGTTTCATTCCCAGTGCTGTCATGGACTCATGGTGTAGCTGACTGGGGGTAAGTCAGGAAACTTTTCAAGCTGGAGAAGTGATGCTGAGGAACCAGAGTTGTTTGGCTGGTGAGCAGTGCATGGCCCCAAGTGCCAGGTGGCTGTCTTCCTTCTGCTCAATACCAGGGAGTCACTAAGACCTGGATACACCATCAATGCTGCTATTCAGCAGCCTCTCTTACTAAAACATTTTGGTTTCCACCAGGTTTTAGGTCTACACTTTTATTATGGGACCGTAAGCACATATCAAAAAGCTCTTAAACTTGTTTTAAAGCTGATTCACGAAGCTGTCTCTTACAAGTAAAAGAGAAGTGCTGTTTGAGGGCAGCTGTGACACTCTTGGGTCAATGTTTGCTATCTTTTCAAAGAAATGGTGCTCTCCACAATGGGTCTTTCATCCAGCAATAACAAGAGCACGTGCCTGTCACCCCCCAGATATGAGAGCCTCTGAGTGCCGGGTGGCCTCGAGTCATCCAAACAAATTGTCTTGGTGGGGAATGGAGTGGTTTGGGAGCAGGAAAACACAGGGCTAGAAGCTAAGTGCTGAGTCTTCAGATCCATCCCCAGGTCTTGCTTATAACTGTCTCAGAAGCTGGTCCAGGGTGAGGGTCCTGCATCCCTTGAGATGAACTGGTCAAAAGAAGGGGCTGAGGCTGGCCCTTATCACAGAAAAGTGCCTTTTCTTCTTTCCTGAGGAGCACAATGGGACCCCCTTTAATTGACATTATTGTGATCATTTTATATTACAGTAGTGATGAAAGCCAAAGCCTGACTCTGGGGTTTAGCAAAGATAGACTCAAGTGCACCCATCCAGTTGCAGAGGCTTTGTCCTGGGAAGTGTGAAGTTTGTTAGCTCTGCCTCATGGGTAGGGAACAGGTGATTTGATGGCTCATCCAAGACTACCCAGAGAGCATGCAGAAGAGGAGGGGTTAAACCCAGTCTGTCCCACAGTCACCCTTATTCTTCTGTCTTTGACAAAGCAGGATGATATGCCCAGTGGCTTCCCAAGAGCTTAGCTTTGCTTTTCTAACTTCCCATCTGATCCTGCCTGGACAAACGTGGATGGAAAATTAATCGGTTGTGATTAGACACACCAATGCCTTTTTCTGCTGTCTGCAGGGAGCAGGATACACTCTGTGACAACTGTGCAGAGGACGGCACCTTCCATCAGTATGCGCATGAGGCCTCTTCCCCTCGGGTCTGTGATTCCTCTGGCTACTGGACCCCAGAAGAGGCAGAAGGTAAACACCTCCTCTCTTCCCCCGGCAGTGAATCTCCTGGACAGAGATGAGATCATGTTGGGAAAAGAAAAAGTTTTTTTATCTTTTAGAGAGTGAGTTGTCTCCTCTTTGGGGAAGCTCTTTAGCGCAGGAAGGAATTCTAGGTGCCCAGGAGATACCTGGTAGCTGCCAGCTGGCTTTGGACAAACAAACTGACACCTCAATATTAACCCAAATTGTTTACCAGAAAGGTGTTAATGAGAGATACTGGTGAAAAGAGAGGGCCATTTCATTGAAATAAGCCTTACAACATAGATCTTGTCCCTGAGGTTTTGGATGAGGTCACATTCACAAGCTTTGATGCAGCCTTGTCCGAAGGGAGCAAGAGGAGCTCCTCGCCCAGTCCCACTGAGCCTGTACCAAGTCCTGGGCAATCTGGGTTTGATGCAATTCCTCACTGGCAAGGTGAACAGCAGGGTGTTACAACTTCTTTTGTGCTGAGACCTAGGCGTTTGTTTAGAGACCCACCTGGTGGGCATTGTGGTGGCTTTCAGGGTCATGCAGCTGCCATAGGAACTGTTGAGCTTTTCATACTGCCTCAGCTTCTCCAAGGGCAAAGCAGAGGAGGCAGAAAACCAAGTGAAATGATCCTGTGAGCTGTATGTAGTGCACATGCTGCTGTTGAACCATGTGGAGTCCAAGGATCTGTTAGTTCTGTGCATCTGCACATTTGAGCCACTGAGATTGACTGAAAATGTCCCAGGGCAGTTGCAGAGAAAGTGCAGTTTGGACATTATTACACCTTTGGGATTCAGCCCATACTTTGAGAACAGGAGTATCAGGATGTAGCTGAGATTATGTGCCTGAAAACTCTTTAATTTACATATCTTTTGCTAGCATTGCAAGCTGGGGGTGTGAGGGGGATCAACTTAAAGAAATAATCAAATTTGTGCTTATTGAGTGATACCAAACAAATCAAAGCTTAGCTCATTTATTATCAGTGGTTCCCGTTTCCCCCACCTGTCTGATTCACCGGCAAATTAAAACTGCTTCTGGAATTACTGGATTTTTTTTTTCTCCTATGCATGTCCTGCAGTTATCACAAGTGCATGTTTGCTCTGGTAAAAAAGAGACAGGTTTTATGGGTTTTAGAAGACTAATATTACATGGATGCAGGCTTTGAATTGCTGCTGGACCCTAAGAAATGCTTGCAGTGGTTGATGAAGACAAGGGTATTTCTACTACAGGGTGATGAATTCCAGTAATGCTTTCTGAGACTGAAAGCCCAACGCTACTTTTCTCTTGCTGATTGCGCTAATCCAGCACCAAGGGAGGCAGGCTGGGGAGCTGAAGTCAGCCTGGGCACTGTCCTGGAGGTCTTGGTGGAAGAACAGCCTTCCAGAGCTGCCTCCCTGGCTTACTTTGGACCCAGTCCTGTCTTGCCTGTGACCTGTTCCAGGACATGCCTGTAGAAAGCTTTGGTCTCTGCCCTGCTTAGCCCATGGAGCCACCGGGACTCAGCGTGCAGGTGCCTTTGGCAAGCCTTCTGTGCCCATGACTACAGAGCAAGTTTCATGTCCCCAGCTGTGTCCAGGCTGTTTCTAAAGTTTGGCACTGCAACCAGCTGCAGTGTGGACACCATTGTCCCTGTTTTAGAGGGCTGTGAGACACCAGATCTGCCAAGCCTTGTGCTTGTATGCATACCCAGGAGCTGGGAGACTAGTGGTGCTTATTGCTTTCTAGGATGTTAGGGCAGATGCCACCAGCTCTGGCACGTGGCCATAGTGGGTGCAAAACTGCATGAGTGTGCAGCTATAGCACAGAGATGCATAAGCACCTACAGGGTGCTGCAGGGAGGATCGCCCCTCTGGGTTGCCTGTGAGGTCAGCTGTCCCCTGGTTCTCATCAGCCTCCTCCTCATCCCTCCTGCCCAGGGCCTCCGGATGTGGATCAGCCCTGTGAGCCCAGCCTGCAGGCCTGGAGTCCGGAGCTCCACCTGTACCACATGAACATGACGGTGCCGTGCCCACAGCCAGATGGCTGCATCTTGGAGCTGCGCTTCCTGCACCCGGTCTACCCTGATTCCCTCACCCTCTGGACTACATACCTCTCCACGGGCTCTCCCAAGGCACTGTCTGACGTTGAAGTCCTGACAGAGCAGGGGGAGTCCATCCATCTGGGTCCCCTGGACACTTTCTGTGATGTCCCCTTTACCGTGAAGCTCAACATCCCTAAAAAGGTGTCAGGAGTCAAAATCTACACCTTTGATGAGAGGATGGAGATAGACACGGCCCTGCTGACCTCCATGCCCCACAGCTCTCTCTGCTCCGCCTGCAAGCTAATCCAGTACCGAGTTCTCCGTGACCCCCCATTTGCAAACGGATCCCCCTCCACCCCGGCACAGGCACACCGCCAGTTCATCGACACGTGAGTGATGAGGCTGCTCCACCGCAGGCTGAGTGGGTGGCTGGGTCAGTTTTGATGACCTCCCCAGGTCCTGCCTTTAAATATCTAGATGATTTTGCTTGTGCTTTGTTCCCCGCTCCCCAGGGAATTACGATGTCCAATGCCATGAGCAGATTTGCTATTCAGCATTGAGGAAGCTTGTTGCAGGTCCATGCTAGCACGACTCTTGCCCATGAGCCCAAGCTAACTAGAAGGAACTTTATTAAACCCAGAAATATTTTCCCCATCAACACAACCAGTAAAATGATTGTTCAAGTTAATGCCACTTCTCCCCAGCTCAGACCCTAGGGAAATAAGCAGCAGGCCCCTCCGCACGACCTGGCAGGGACCCTCTTCCCACAGTCTCTGCCTCTGGGAATTTAGAGTACAAAGACATGTGTCAAACTGTGACACTGCATGGGCACACACACGTGATTTCTGTAACTGTGGTGAGCAAATCTGTTGCAGATGTATGGGCTGTTCCCTCTTGCTCTTTCTTTGAGTCCTCTCTGTTCCTGCAGGGAAGTCATGCCTGGGCAGGTGTACCACTACCAGGTGCAGGCAGTCTCTGGGACAACCTCAGGAGAAGCCTCCCCACCGCTCATCCATGTCCACGGAGCACCCTACTGTGGGGATGGGAAGGTGACCATGTAAGTCAAGAAACTCAAGCTCTCAGCTGAGGTTCTTTAAGCTATTGGGTCATCCTGCCCCAAAGGGAAGCATGTCCTCTGCCCGTGGGTACTCTACTGAAGACATTGTGCTGAATCCCTCCAGCAGACTGGACTACGGAGCTTGTGTTTTGTAAAATGCCATGTGCATAGGAGATGGAGACAGGTTTTTTGAGAAGCAGGGTCTGGATGAGGGATCCAACCCAAACAACCTCCATGTTTGACCGCAGCACTTGGATTCTGGCTTGTCTCAGCAGATTGTTGTGGAGTCTGCCCCCAAGGGGGTCTGCCTTTGGGACTGGCCAATATAACCTTTTGTACAGGGCACATAGTGGTGGCCCTGTAGGAGTATGTTCCGCAGCAAGTGCAGTCCCACATGGCATGGTCTCTTTAGAGATCTGACTGGTCTCTACTTAGAGACCCCAAATGACGAGGGATGCATCACCTCTACATTGAGAGAATCCAACAGTTCACCTGCTCCATCTGGGGATAATTATGCCAAATTTCCATATTTTAGCTTTTTCAGACTTCAACTTCCAGGTTAGTCAGAATCACTTTCCTTTGAAAACAGCTTTCTTAACAGTGTGAAGAAAGTGGACAATTTAAGCAAGTCCAGGAGGGATTGTGGTATTGTACAAGACCCAGAAAGACAAAGAGGCTTACAGCAGGGTTAGCTGCTAAAATGATGTAATCTGATATGATTTTAGTATGAATTCATACTAGCTGAAGACTTGGTCCAGAGAGAACAAATGACCACTTTAGGTTTTGTTGTCAAAGTTGATAGAAAAGTGAGAGAAGCAGAAATGGGTAGATAGCAACAGAGATTTTTGTCAGGCTTTCTGGTTCCTGAGTAGTTGTAGGCAAAGGCATGCAGGAAGCTTTGTCTGTGAAAGTATTTTTCCTTTGTACCATGTGTGAAACAGTGAGCCAAAGGTGGGAAAATGGGACACAGTGGGTCGTTCATATTAGATAAGGATGGAGGTGGGTGAGCATCACAAGATGTATGCCTGAAGGTTTTTAGCTCCTTGTTTTGGGATATGCAACTCTGTGCACAAAGAAACAGGCATGAATCGAGGCATTTCTTCCAGCTTTTCCTATCAGGTCTATTTTCTGCAGTATGGGGACAGAACCTTTTCAGGGAAATTGAATGGGCTTTTTTCCTCATGAGGTGCCATGTATGTCGGCTGGGGGCTGATTCTTGTCTCCTCTTGGGCTAACCTCCTCTCTCTCCCTTCTCCAGCTCCCACTGAAACACTAACCCCATCTCAGAACCTCCTGCCCTCTCCAACACTTCCTTTCTCCAGCAGCAAGTCTTCCTGATGCTTGTTTCTCTACTTCCTCTGTTGTATATAGCTTCATTTTCTCCCATAGTCTTATATAAGACATCAGGTTTTATAAGAAAGTCACAGTACAGTCATGCCTTCTCCCATATACTGTATTTTCAACCTCTTTTTATTCCTGGGCAAGATATGGTGTTTTCTCTCTTCTACCTTACTCCACATATGGTTCTTCCTCTTCTCCCTGCTTCTGTGGAAACAGAACCAAGGTATGGGGTCCTCACTCATGACTCGGGAGAAGTAAAGGAGAGTTGAGTCAAGGGTGGTGTTAACAGGATGTTGTCCTCTTAGGAGCCTGGAGGAGGAATGCGATGATGGGGACTTGCTGGATGGAGATGGTTGTTCCAGGAAATGTAAAAAGGAAAAAGGTTTCAACTGTGTTGGTGAGTCCATATGGATTAAAACATCCTTTTGAGGCAGGAGTCAAAACTTATTGTACTTTATTCACCCTGCTCCTCAGGGCAGGGGGTGATGCACTTCATCGCAAGAAAACACAGATCTACAGCTAGGGTGATCCACAGGGTTTGTCAGGCCCTTGCGGTGGGAAGTCCCAGGGCTAAACAGTCAGCATGCCTCCTGGGACAGGAGGAGATGTAAAACTAGGAGCCTAGTTTTTAAACGGGTCATCCCTGGTCTCCTTGCAGGGGAGCCAAGCCTGTGCTATGTGCACGATGGGGATGGTGTGTGTGAGCCATTTGAGAAGACAAGCAGCATCCTGGACTGTGGTCCCTACACACCTGATGGATATGTGGATCTGTGGGCAGCGAAAGCCTACGCCTCCCATCAGGATGCAAAGTCCTGCCCTGCTTCCTTGGTCACTGGAGAGCCTGTTGTGAAGGTGAGTGAAGGCATGGCCAAAACCCCCAGACTTTTCTAGAAAAGCCAAAGCAGTAAAGCTGGGGAAGTTACTGCTGCAAAAGTGTACTGAGGCAAAACCAAAATCTTCAGAGCAGCGCTGGAAGTGTTCACTGATTGCTATATACCCAATGCAGGGAGCCAGTAGAAGACCTGGGTGTTTCTCACACTCTTCTTTCAGTAGTCCGTAAGCTCAGGAACTGCAGTACATGGAGTGGTGTTTCATCAAGGCAGGGAGCACCTCCTCTGACCATGCAGTTTGCTAAACAGTGATCATCCCCATCCCACCAGCTAAATACACAACTGTGAGCATGTGAGTAGTCCCACTGTTGGCTTAAAAAACCACTGTAAGTCTAATACCTTACAAGGTCAGGACCTGAAAGGATTAAACCACGCATACATCAGCATCTGTGCTGCTCTCAAACTCTCTGATCTAAAGCCAAGGAAAAATCAATGTGGAAATTCCCATGTTTCATATGGGTTTTGGAGCAGGGCCTGGGCGTCTAGGACGGGATTTTGCCTGATCGGTGTTAACATGGTGTGTGTATGTTCTTTCCTAGTAAGCTGAAGAAGGGCAAGAAATACATTGAGAGGTCACATTTAGCCCTTTATGCATGTGTTTATATTGACCTGATATAAGGAACAATCTTCTTGAGACCTACAGCATGATTAAATTGCCCGCATGTACATGTCTAGTGAGGTGCCTTGGGCTCAGATGTCTGCCTTTCTAGAATGACACACATATCTCCCAGGTTTTGTCTGCCAGGCCTATAGGGATGTCTGGGATACCATAGGGGATCAAATGGCACAGAAGACTGGTGTTCAGACAAACAAATCACACCTTTGGATCTCATCAGACCTGCCAAAATCAGGAGGCTATGGTCTTCCCTACCACAGCTTGGTTCATTATTTCTTACTCAGCCCCACAGACACCATGGGGTGCTTAAACAATGTATTTACAGCACCTCAGAATGGCAAAGGCATCCTGTGCACATGTGTGGGCAATGACATGTCACTGCTGCTTAGGAACCCGCATCCTGATTTGTCTTCATGCTAGGAACCAACTAGGGATCCTTCTTAATGTTTGTTGAGTCTTCCTTGAAGTTTTGTTGGTGCTGTTTCTTTCTCTCACTTTCCTTTGTTCTTTCTGGGTTGAAATAAATCTCTTCTTTCAGATATGTAAATCCCACCTTCATGAAGTGCCAAAGGACCTTTCCATGGCAGCTTGGTTCCCCTGCACTCCTAGCCAAGACAATGCTCAGGATCCAGATGAGGAGAGGATGCCCTTGGGCGATGAGGGAGTTTGGCTCAAGGTAAGTGAGGAAGTGTGGTCAGGCACAGAAGGATTTGTTTGTTTTTGCCCCAGCACTTTGGTGACAAAGAGCCATTCTTTTCTATCTTCTAGGAGCTACAGCAGTCTTAAAAACTGCTCAGATAGGATCCTACTGAACTCTTCGCAAACCCAAATGCCTGTGGCTGTGTCTTATGTAGTTGCCCCGTTCCCACTCTGAACAGCAAACCCATTCTGGGGCAGATTGCCAGCAGAAGGGCTATGCGCGAAACCAGAAGCCCACAGAAATGTGTTGAGGCTAAGAAACAGCTTGCTGCTGACTATTCCCTGCAGTCAAGCTGTGCTGTTACACCCGTAAAGGATGGCCACAGGCTGCATTGAAAGCCTTAGTTGCTTTTGTTCCCCGTGGCTGTGAAAAGTAACAGAAGGTAGCTGGATATACTCTGCCGTCCTGAAGGGTCCCGAGCGCTCCAGGTTGCTGCTGAGCACCCTGAGCCCACAGCAATGAGCTGTGGCATGCAGGTCATCCAGCTGCCCAGTGACTCCAGAGCAAAGGAGGCACTTCTGTGCCCAAGATGCTGGTCCTGCAGCCCAATGGGGGCTCAGAGGCTGCCTTTGGGAGTGCACCTGGTGGATCAAACCTCCCTGTCCCAGCAGGCAGAGGAGCAAGACAAAAGAGAGCTTGAGGTTTAGGCCAACGTGATTTTTACAGCATTGATTTTCTGACCACAGACACAGTTTAGAGGTTTTGTGGCTGTTGCCTGGTGTTACTGGAAAGCTGGGCTCTAGCATACTGCTTCCTCTATAGTTTGAGGGGTACCTTGTACTGCTTTGCTTGAGGTTGTCTAGAGAGGACCTTTTCCCAAGATGCTCAAACAACTTGGTGAATCATCAAACCTAAGTCAATAAACCTGGCTATTGCCTCTGAGGTCCTCTGTCTCTCCAAAGAACTTCCTTTAACTGGGTTATTTTTCCTTTCTCCTTTGTCTGTGTGCTCACAACCTACTTTCTGGCTTCAGTCTCTGACCATGACAAATGTGACTCCTTTCTTCCTGTGCTAGTGAGAAAGCAGCAATCTCCCCCTCTGCTCTACCTAGATGAAAGCTTGCTTTCCACTTCTCGCCAGGGGTTAAAGCATGTTCCAGTTTTATTGGAGCTTGTGGTCAGTTCTCTTCCTCTATAGATGTTTATATTAAAGACTTTCATTACTGGTTCTCCATGCTCTCTCTAGGAGTGCTATTATTTTCCGCCCATAAAATTATTTATGGACTAGTAATAAATATACCCTCTTTTTTTTTTTTTTTTTTAATAGAATTTTCCTGATTGGTAACATATTGGGTTAGGAAAGACAGCTTCTTGTTGACAATTTGCCTAGCATACCCGCCTGCCTGGACAGGAACAGTGCTGTTCACGCACATGCCATTTTAAAGCTGTTGCACCTGTGTCACCTGGGTTAGAGCTGCACCACAAAACTCATCGGGTGGTAGGAATCACTTCCTACAGCATTTCTCAAGTGGTGGCACCAATAAGCAAGGGAAAGGCTGGGTCATGCTATCAGTGGGCTGGGGGGAAGAAGCGTGTGTGTCTGTGCCACCTAACGAAGCAGCTACCATGCACCTCGAATCTGTCTGCACATGGAAATCATTATGATTTGCAGATCTCCAGCCATGCATTGTTCTTGGTTTCCAACACATCCAATGAGGAGACAAATCAAAATCACTTGTAAGCAAGTCAGGATGTGTAACATGCAGGAAATTAAACAGAAAGGGGGAGAAGGAGGGAGAAGAATTAAGAAGATAGCCTGCTGTGGCCAAGCACTTAATATGTATCAAAAAAAAAAAAAAAAGAATAGGGGTGTTAGTCAAGTCAGCTGCTGTTGCTCTAACTTGGGGCCAGCGTCCTTCACCTCCAAATAGATGCACTGTAGGAAGGGAAAAACTAAATCCTCCACCTTAAGCTGTCTAGTCCAGGGAAAGCCTCACCTGACTTCTCTAACCATCTCTCCTCTCCTGAGGAACCAAGGTTGGAGAAGTGGGCAGCAGGTGGCTGGGTTAAATCTGGCTGGCTCTTTGGGACTTCCCAGCTGCAGCTCTGTCCTAGGGGGCTCCTTGGAGCAAGCTGTGAGTGCTGCTGGCTCTTCTTCATCTTTCTTCTCTTTTGCTTTCCTTTCCACTCCTCCCTTCTTACTTTCTTGTTGCTTTTCCTTTGTCACCCTGCTTTTTTCACCAAGGGAAACAGTGGGGATGTACCAAATAAAAACGTCTGAGACTCCTGGTCAACTCCTTGCATCCAGGCCAGCCCTGCATGAGAGCAAGCCCTGGCCAAGGGAGCATGTAGGCAGCAGTGGGGACTCACCTGTGGAGTGTTTGCTGCTGAGCACCTCCCTGCAGGGTGGGAGCCCTGGGCTGAAGCCCAAGGTTTTCTCCTGCTCCCATGTGTGAACCATGCCTAGCGTGGTATGCACCACTGAGGCTGGGCTGCCATCACAAATCAGGTGGTTGTCCCCTCTGCTCCCGCAGTCTGCTCCTTGGGCTGTGCCCAGCCAGCTGGGACTTGTTCTCCTCCAAAATACACCTTTGCCTTGAATTTCTGGGCTCCCTCCATGCCGGCATTCAACAAAAACACTCCATAGGGTGGATCTTGGTCAAAACACATCTCAGCACTGGGTGGGCGGTACCAGGGTGGGGGAGAAAAATATTTCTATCTTCTTACTTCCAAAGAACATCTGCCCTTCCATGACTGAAGCCACGAGTTTCCCAGCTGCCTCCCGTAGCCTTCGGGGCTGTAGACAAGTGGGGAGCTGTCAGCTCTCCTACCAGGCAGGGCTTCTTTCCACAAATCTTTCCACATGTTGGCTGACAGACAGTTTGCAGTCACTCCGAGTGCTGGGGCTGTTCTTTGTTTTGTTTTGTTTTGTTTTATTTGGAGTATTTCAGTGGCAGGGCTGGTAACTGTGCTGTCTGGGTGCTTTGCTTGCCTGGCCAGCACCATGCATGGTGGGAGTCAGAGCCTGGTGAAGGGAGGGCAGAAAAGGGGTTATCCAGGTCTCAGTGAGGTGTTGCTCAATTTTGAAAGCAGCAAATGTGGAAGCTGGGAAGATGCCACAAATTTATGGCAAGGCGGGACTGATACATGTAGGGAAGACTAGTGAGAGGGAGAAGGTGAATTAGGAGGGAAAGAACTGTGTTCCTGCACTGTTCCTTCCTTCCTCTCTCTCTTCACACCTATTTGTTGCACTGCATTTCTGCAGTCTCTGACCCCCTAACCCTGCTCCTGCGCTCTCACCACACTCTCTCTCCCTCTTGCGTATATAGGATCAGAGAAGTTGTATTTGATATGCATGCTCTCAGGCTCTCTCTTGCCCTCCTGTCCAGGTGTGCTTTGAGAGACCTGCAGTGCCCACCTCCCTTCTGGTCTTTCTGGCCTCTGATGGCACCAACCAACGCAAGCTGAAGGTCA